CCGCTGCGCCACATGGGCCCTCCCGCCTCCGTGCCGATGCTGCTGTCCTCCTGGGCTCTGCCGAGCTCCTCGCCTCAGCAAGGCTCTGACGATCCTGCAGGGTTTTGCAGGATCCTGCAAGGCCCGACTGGCCAGGGTCTGGATCAAGGGCGCCCTCGAGGGCGCGAAGTTATTCGCGCTTCGCGCTTCGGCTCCGATTCCTCCTCATCCTCCTCTTTCGGGGGTGGATAGACCTACCCTGACACGTCGATTAGCCCGCTGGCATGGGGGCATGCAAAAAGGATGCCCCCACGAGGCCCCCCCACTGCACCGAAGCCGCGCCCGAGCTCCTGCAGCTGACGCACCCCTCCCGACGGGCCCAGCGAGGACATTCCCATCACTTGAGGGTCCGTCTGCCTGCTCGGTGCCGAGGCCCCCGCGCGGGGGCCCACCCATCCGCTGGTGAGGTGGCCGTCTCGGCACCCAGCACCGATGCGGCCGTAGTGTACGGCTTGCAGGGTGCCGCCCAGCTCCACGATGCACCACCCCCAGAAGTCCAACTGCCGCGGAACGTTTTTTCGGACCCAGGAGGGCCCGAAGTCGGACCAAAAGAGCCTCAAGAGACTCCCAAGATGGTCCAAGAGGGCCCCGAGACGCCCAAAGATCGCACCACGACGCCAAAGATGGTCCCAAGACGGCCACAGAGGCATCCGAGGCGCCCCGAGAGAGCTCCAAGAGCATTCCCAAGAGGGCCCCGAGAGAGAGCGCGTGTTGTTCAATGATTTTGGGTTCCTCGACTTTTCGAGCTCTCAAAGCCCCAAGACGGTCAAAGAGGCTCCCAGCACCGCCGCAAGACGGCCCAAGAGGCCCCCAGGAGGGCCCCAACATGGCCCAAAAAGGCCCCAAGACGGCCTTAGAGACGCCCAAGACGGCCCTAGAGGGCCCAAAGACAGTTCCAAGAAGAGGGCGAACACGAACCGAACATCCGAATCTGACAGGAGACCCCAAGGAGGCCCCAAGAGGCCCCAAGAGATCCCCAAGAGCCCCGAAGAGGCCTCAAAACGGCCCCCAGGAGGATCCCGAGAGGTCCCCCGCGACATCCAAACGAACGCCACCCAGGCACGGTGGCGGGATGGGCCGAAGGCCATTCGACATGTGAATATGTAGACATGTGTGTATACGTATGTTTGTGCATACATGAACAGGTATGTGTACACCACGCGAAATGGTTAAGACATCATGGGTTAAGAAATTCATGGTCTCAGAAGTTGAACAAAAACCCAAGATTTCTATCAAGATCTTAGGATTTACAGTGAAACGTTAAGAATAATCGAGACTCTGGCCGAAAACTTAAGCTTTCTTAAGCATCGCCTACGGTGTATACACCCTGGTGGGCTTGGATATCCCCTTATACCCCACGGGCCCACGAGGTTCAGGAAGAGATCCGCTCCGCAGGTGGAGGCTGCACCGAGAGGGGTCAGCGGCGCATCTCGGCCCGAGGCAGCAGGGAGCGCATGGAAGATGACAGCAACCAAGAGAGCCATGATAAGAAGGGGGCGGTGCAACTAATTATCCCAGCAAAGCAACCTAACAGCGATGTGTAGAAGCATATCTGAAAGCATTCCCCTTAAGATTCAGATGAAAATCCAGTTGTAGAATTCTGCTGTTCTCGCAGTCGTAGTCGCATTCGCGATGACAGTCGCAGCGGCAACTAAACAGACCCAGAATGCGAACAATCATCAAGAAAATCACGATACCACGAATCACAGGGAAGACCAGGGCGCATGGAATCAATACGAATGCTGCTAAGCATCGGACACATAAACATGATAGGAACGAGACTAAGAAGGCGTGGCCATATTGTCTGAGCGATCCCATGGCCTCGACCATAATACCCACTCCCCCTAACCCTCGCCCCCCCTCTTCGACGCCCCCGATCCACGCGAGGCGCCGTCACCATCGTCGCCGTGTGGCGTCGAGAAAGATAATCATGACGGCCGGCTTCTCTGCGTCTTCGGCCCTCGTTCCCAAGCCCCACAAACGCCGAATCGGCTACACGTGAGAGTGAATCTAGGCAAGAGTGACCTTTGGTGAGCGACTTTCGGGGGCCGCGGGGAGGCCGAACCGGGGCGCGCAAGCCGCTGCTATCGCATCGTTTTCAACCTTCTGGGGACCCCCTTGTGCCCACACCAAGGGTCACTCCAGCGAAAGGTCACTCTCACGTGCGGCCGACCAACGAGCGGCCCAAGACGGAAAGCTGGCCCCGGGGAGGTCGTGGTCGAGACTCCCAGGGGCCAGCGGCTCGAACACAGGCGGCGGGAGGGGTTGCGCCGCCGCCGCACGGGGCGCCACCCAGTCCTCCAAGGGGGGGGGGTCGAGGATCGAGGCTCGAGGGCCGTCGGCTCGAGGAGCAAGGTCTTCGGGTGCTTGTCTGCGCGCGTTTCGTGGGGAATCTCTGGGGGCGCTCTCGCTGCCAACGCTGCACTCCTCTCGAGATCTTGGTCGGAGCACGTTCCAGGGCAAAATTTTTGGGGCCGGAGCCCACGTCAACCGCGGCTTGCGGCAGGTTCGCGCATCGCCATGACGTGCACGGTGGTTCCTGACACTGCGTGATTGGTTCAACCTCCTTCCTCCTCCTCCTCCTCCTCCTCTTCCCTCCTCCTCCTCCTCCCTCCTCCTCCCTCCTCCTTCCTCCTTCCTCCTCCTCCTCCTCCTCTTTCCTCCTCCTCCTCCTCCTCCTCCTCCTCCTCGCGGTTTCCGATAGCGCAGGTTGTTGGATCCTGGCCAATTCCCCAAACAGTTGCGGCATGCCATCTTGACCGCCCGCGTTGGGGTCGCCACCGCGTCAAGGAAGCGCGAACCTGCCGTACACGAGGCATCCTCATCGTCATCGTCGTTCGAATTCGGACGCTTCCGCCCAGCTTTTGATGCTTCTGCTGGTCCTCGGAGGGATCATCGAGACAATCGAATTGAATGTGAGCCTTGCAGATAAGTAGAAGAGGGACGTCGCTCATTTTCGCCCTGATGGAAGCGGAATCGACTCGATCGATGTCGCGCGACTATATACCACATGAATCATCGAATGGCTGGAATCGTGGACAGCCCTGGTAGGAGGCCACGCTGGACAAGGCTTCTGGACAATATTAGTATCTGGATCGCTAACGGAACAGGAGATGCCATATCGTCCATGACCCGTTTTACATGTTCACCTCTCCCGCTACTCCTCCTGATGGCTGCAGAGCGCACGCGACGCCTCCAGCCGCGCAAGCGCGTTCGCAAACGTGGCCAGCTGCGCGACGTTGCTCTGGCCGATGAGCTTACGAGCGCGATCAACGTAGGTGTAGATCGCAGCGTTGCGGCCCAGCAAACCTGTCGGGTAACGACTGTCGAGAACAGGCCATCCAGAGGTCAACCCCAACACAACTCGGAATGTGTTCGTTTGGGAAACTCTGTTTAGCACAACGTGCTGGGGATGGGGGTGGGGAAAGAGAGGAGCCAGAGGCCCCGAAACTTGCGGAGACGACCCACGGTTTTCCGAGGCAACCGATATCAGAGAACGGGCGGCCTGCACACGCGCCTTGAATCAGGAATGCACCTTTTCCAAATTCACACCGTAGGGGTGGTCACATCACTCGAAGATATCGGATAGAGAAGCGACGCCTTGACGATGGATAACTGGCTGTCGGTAGGGCGAGCCTTTCCTGCGCAATCGACTCGATCGTTTCTTCGATGGCTTTCGTTAGCCGGATCATAGTTGCATCATCGCCCATCATAGTCACCATCGTCTTCATCATCATCACCAGTGTCATAGTCGTCGCTATCATGACCGCGGTCATTACCGACAGCACCACCATCCCCATCGTCATCATCAGTGGAGGATGGTTGGAAAGAACAGGGCGGGAAGCGATTATTCTGTCGCTATTGCGCGAGCCACTACCAAAACTGTTCGAGACACAATCGCATCTTGGACTAATCGGTGATCGCTGGGACACTCGGCCCAAGATGTTTCTGCCAGCCCTGGCCGTCAGAGCAAGGAGAACTGTTCCAGCCTGTGGCGCATCCTGCGACTAATCGCTGGCACCGTTGAAGACATGCTGCGCCAGCACCACCGCCAAGCCGACCCAAAATACTTCCTCCGGCACCGCCGCCAGGTCAGGAAACTGCACGGGGACTCCGCCCAGCACTGGGCCATCGCAGTGATGGCGACTCGGAAAAACTCCTGTGGGCATGGTGTCGATTTGATTTTGCGCGACCTCACATCCCGGAACACGTCGGAGCAGACCGCGGCGGCCATGTGCACCCCGCTGTCGGCTGCAACGTGGCCAATGGCGGGAAACACCGCAGTCGCTGGGCCTCGAGCGGGAACCCTCTCCATGTAAGGCCTCCGCTTCGTGTTTTCAATCCCAGCGGGTCATCGGCGTATTGTAGCAGGTCTAACTCTTGAGCACCACTAGGGGGCCAATCGTGAGGATGCCTCGAGCGGGGCTCTCGTCTGTGAGCGGCTAGCAAGGGAATCTCGAGCGGGACCCCTCTCCCCCATGGGGCTCCCGCTTTGTGCTTTAAATCCCAGCGGGCTGGTATCGGCGAACTCTAGCTGGCAAAACACTTCAGCACCCCAAGGAGGCCCATCCTGCGGATGTCTCGAGCGGAGGCCTCGTCCATGAGTGAATAGCGAGGAAGTCTCGAACGGGACCCCTCTGCCTCTGGGGACCCCGCTTCGTTTTTTTGTCCCAAACATCCATAGCGCCCCGCATTCCTCTCGTCTTCTCCTCTTTCTCCCCCTCCCTCCTCCTTTCACCCCCCTCACTTTGGCACACCCCTCACACGTTTCGTGGCCACAGAGGAGCCCCATCGAAGGCCCCAGTAATGCAGCCCGCATGCGTGCCCGCCACAAATTTCGGCACACCCCTCAGAAGCTTCGTGGCCCCAGAGGAGCTCCGCCGAAGGTCCCACTTGCGCAGCCCGCATGCGTCCCCGCCACCCATGTTGAGGCACCTCTCACACGTTTCGTGGCTCCATAGAAGCTCCACCGAAGGTCCCAGTGGCGCAGCCCGCATGCGCCTCCGCCACCCATGACGGCACACCCCTCACAGTGGCGCAGCCCGCATGCGTCCCCGCCACCCATCTTGGCACACCCCTCACACGCTTTGTGGTCTCATAAAGAGCTTCGCCGAAGGTCCCAGTTGCGCAGCCCGCATGCGTGCCCGCCACCACTTTCAGCACACCCCTTACACAGTTCGTGGCTCAGTAAGGAGCTCCGCCGCAGGTCCCAGTTGCGCAGCCCGCATGCGCCCGCGCCACCCAGTCCAGCACACCTCTCATACGTTTCGTGGCCCCAGAGGAGCTCCGCCGAAAACCCCCGTGGGGCAGCCCGCATGCGCCCGCGCCACCCACTCCGGCACACCTCTCATACGTTTCGTGCTCCACCGATGGACCCAGTGGCGGTGCCTACATGCGTCGCCGCAACCCATTTCGGCACGCCCATCACACGCTTCGTGGCCTCATAGGGAGCTCCACCGAAGGCCCCAAAGGCGGTGCCCACATGCGCCCACGCCACCCATGCCGGCACACGCTTCATGGCCCCATAGGGAGCTCGACCGAAGGCCCCAGTGGCGGTGCCCACATGTGTCCCCGCGACAGATTTCGGCACACCCCATCACACGCTTCGTGGCCCATAGGGAGCTCCACCGAAGGCTCCAGTGGCGTTGCTCACATGCGTCTCCGCCACTCATTTCGGCACATCCCCCACACGATTCGTGGCCCCAAAAGGAACTCCACCGATGGCCACAGTGGCGGTGCCCACATGCGTCCTCGCAACCCATTTCGGCACATCACTCACACGTTTCGTGGCCCCATAGGGAGCTCCACCGAAGACGGTACTCACAACTGCTTTAATCACATTTGCGTATGGTAGGGTCCGTCGCCAGGCTCATTTTTTTGAGGGGTCATCGGGTAAATATCGGAGTTAAAACACTTGAGCACCCCAAGGGGGCCAACCGCGAGCATGTCTCGATCGGGAGCCCTCTCCCTATGAGGCCCCCGCTTCGCGTTTTTAGTCCCAGCGTGGCAAGCAAAGCACTTGAGCACTCCCCGGGCCCAATCGTGAGGATGTCTCGAGCGGGGGCGTCGTCAATGAGTGGATAGCAAGGAAGTCTCGACCAAAAGCCCTCTCCCTATGGGGCCCCCGCTCCGTGTTTCAATCCCAGCGGGGAATCGGCGTACTGCAGCAGGCATAGAACTTGAGCTCTCCCAAGGAGCAATTCGCGAGGACGTGTCGAGCGGCGGCCTCGTCTGTGAGTGAGCTGCGCAGATGTATCGAACAGGGGGCCCGCAAGTCCCGGTGGCCCCGCAGGGCGCACAGGGCACGGAGGTCACACAAGTCCCACAAGCCGAATACTTCCAACAAGTCCCACAAACCTCTCCGGCCTAAATTGCTCCACGAGTCGTGCAGGTCCTACAGGCCTCACAGATCGCACAAGTCTCACGGGTCGCACTGGCCGCACGGATTCCACTGGTCGCACAGGTCCCACGGGCCCTACAAGTCCCACGGTGTCGCAGAGGCGCCGCAGGTGGCACAGGTTCCACGAGACACGCAAGTCTTGCAGGTCCCGCAGGTCCCACAAGTTCCAGGGGGCCCTCAGGTCCCACACGTCTCTCAGGGCCCCTATGTAGGTCCCACGGGCCCCGAAGGCCCCACAGGCCCCACGTGTCCGACAAGTTCCGCACGTGACACGAGCCACACCAGCCTCGCTGGACCCACAGGGCCCGCGGCCACAAGAAGGGTCCGCAGGCCTCGCAGGTCCCACGCGCCCCACAGGCCCCAGAAGTCCCACAGACCGTACAGGTACCGCAGGTCCCACAGGCCGCACAGGTCTCACAAGTTCGGAGGTTCCCAGCGGCCCCACAGGGCCCGCAGGTCCCGCAGGTCCCAGAGATCTCACACGGCCCGCAAGTCCCACTTGGTCACACAGGTCCCACAATCCCCGAAGTTGCAACAAGCCCGCAGGTCGCACAGCCCCCACGGGCCCCACTGGTCGCGTATTCTGGCATCCTGGCGTCATCGCCATCCCAAGTCGTTGGTGGTGACAAGTCCCATGAGCACTACAAAGATTATCAGGCGGGGTCCAGGAGGAGGAGGCAGAGGAGGAGGAGGAGGAGGAGGAGGAAAAGGTAGAGGAGGAGAAGGAGCAGGAGCAGGAGGAGGAGGAGGAGGAGGGGGATGAGGAGGAAGAGGAGGAGGAGGAGGAGGAGGAGGAGGAGGAGGAGGAGGAGGAGGAGGAGGAGGAGGAGGAGAGAGGAGGAGAGAGGAGGAGGAGTCCTTGAAGGATTCTGGCGATGGCCACCGCCGCCGCTGCGCCGCCGCCGCACGCGGGCCTGGCGGCGCCCGCGCGCAGGCGTTCAGCACGCCGGCCGCATCGCGGGCCTCGGCCGAGCCGCAGGCGGCCTCTGCACGGCGGAGGTGGGCGCGCCAGGCGCCTCGCTCGACGACCGCGGGGGGCTGGCAGCGGCAACGACGATCGGCGGCTCAAAGGTGGGGTCCCGAGGGACGGGGCCCTAAGGGCAGGAAGGGATCCAAGGGCGGCTTTACATCTTTTGAGGCATCAGCACCCCGTCCCTCAGGGCCCAGTCTTTGAACACCACCGGAACTGCGGCGGCCGGCGCCGGGGCAGCAGCGAAGACGACGAGAACAACGGCGCCCAGCGACAAGCGGCGACCCGCGACGATGGCGACTGGCGTCGGCCACGGCGACGGTGTCAGCGACGACCACAGCGGCGACAGCGAGGGGGGAGGAGGAGGGGAGCAGGAGGAGGAGGAGGAGGAGGAGGAATAGCAGGAGGAGGAGGAGGAGGAGGAGGAGGAGGAGGGGGCGGGAGAGGGCGAAGGAGGAGCAGGATGAAGAATGGTGGAGGGGAGAAGAGGCACAGGGGAAGGATGAGGATGATGGATGATGAAGGTGGTCGGAGCGAGCCGTAATGCCAACGAGACCCGGACTCGACGGGGCGGGCCGAGCGAGGAGCGCAGCGGTCTCATCCCGCGCCCGACCTCGATCTGGCCCGCGCTGGCGAATTCCCTGCCCTCCAACTAGTGAGAAGAAAGCAGGATGAGGATAAATCCAGATCGAGATGCGGTCAGGAACTGTTGCTTAGCGAGTCGCAGAGGCGGCCCTGGCGACACGCTGTGCCCTGCGAAAGGATGGCGTGTCGCTCCGCTCCGCGGGGAGGGAGGCTCGCAAAGACTCGGGACGCTGACGCTTGGGGACTGGGACGTGGATAGCGTGTCGCGCCGAAGCGGCGGTGGGCTAGAACCGGCGGCGCGACACATAAAACCAACGTTCCCGACCGCCCTCCGCCCTCCGCCCTCCGCCCTCCGCCCTCCGCCCTCCGCCCTCCGCCCTCCGTAAGTCCAGATCGAGATAGATCGGGAATCTCTGGGACCTGGCGGGCCTGGAGAAGATGTGGCGGGCGCCGCGGCCGCTTCAGAGCGCCCCAGGGCGCTGTGAGAGCGTTCCAGAACGCTCTGGAGCGACCCATCTTCATCCGAGGCCTGCCTGGCCTAGACATCCATCCGACGACTCGACTATACTGCGCGGCACGGGCGCCCAGACCTTTGGACCCCATCCCAAAGCCCGCTGTTCCAAACTGAATGCGGCCCCGGGGCCTGGAAACTGCCCCCGGAGGCCGAGATCGCAACAACAACAACTCCACACTGCTGCTTCAAGACTCTGGGTGTCTGGGGCGGGAGAGCTGGCGTCCATAGCCTTGCCAGGCGCGGCACCGGCAGCGGGGAGCACCGGCGATCCCCGACCCCGATCGACCGCAGCGCCGATCGCCCCGATGCCGACCGGTCGGCGGACCTCTCTCCTCCCTCTGTCCTCCTTCGACGGTCCTCCACCCTCCTCGCGTCCCCACCCCCTCCCACTCTCATAACCCCCCCCCCCCTCACGCTCCCTCCTCCGTCCCCGCCGCCCTCCGTCCCTCCCCCGCGAGGGGGAGGTGTCGAGGGGGGGGGGTGCAAGACTGGGGGGCGCGGGCCCCGAAGGCCGCTTACGGCCGGGGGGAAAGCCAGAGATGGCCCGCAGAAGGCACCGAAGGGGAACTCCAAGACGCCGCAAGATCCCTCCACCCCAAGCTCGCCAGCGAGACCGCCAGCAGGCTACCAAGAAGGGCACTGAAGCCCGGCAGATGACCTAAAGATGCCCCCGAAGCCCCCAAGAAGCGTTCAAGAGGCCCCCCAGGAGACACCGAGACGACTCCAAGAGGCCCCTGGTCAACGACCCAAGCACGGTGGCGGGATGAGCCGAAGGCTGAAGGCCACTAGACCCGCCGACCCAGTTGCTTGCAAGAAGGGCGCTTGGCGTGCCAAATGTAATGCATAGCTATTGTTGGCCATTCCAGAAGGTTGCCCCGCACGCGGCCTGGGTCTCCAACATAATGGGCGAGCAGAAACCAGCGCCGCGCCAGAGCGAGAACGCAACTTCCAGGAGCAAACTGGTAGGTAACGGACGCCCGCGTATATCGAGAAAGGCGCCTCCATTCCACAAAGTTATTGGCAGTCTTCAGCCGAACCCGCTGGCCCCGCGTCAAAAGTACATCCATCCCGCGGGACTGTCCGTCCACGATGGCTGCAAGATGGCCCCGAATGGCCTCTATGTGGGCCGTAAGACGATTCAAGATGGCCTCCAAGACGGCCAAGATGGCCCAAAGACGGCCAAAGATGGCTCCAAGATGGCTCAAGATTGTCCCAGAGGCCCCCAAGATCACCCCAACATGGCCCATTAGGGCACCAATACAGTCCCGAGGCAGTCCAAATACGGCCGCAAGATGTTCAAGATAGCATACAAGACGGCCCCAGATGAGGTCCAAGACGGCCAAGATGGCTTGCAAGCCTGCCACGGTGGTCTGAATCAGATTTCCGCCAAGACGGTCCAACCATGACGGCCACGATGGAACAGCATGGCCACAAGTCGGCCACAAAAGAAGTTTCCACAACGGCTGGGGGAATGCATAGTCCAATTGCTTCACCTAGCTTTGGCCGACCGTTTGGCCACAGAGGCTATGGGCCTTTCCACAAAGGCATTGGGCGGCAGTGACTCGCCGCAAGCGTCTTCGATCCCACGCTCCCATCACCTCCCAGATGGGTACCTGGAGCGCCAAATATCAACTGTCTTCAGGCCATTCCAAAAAAGTTCCCGGTGGTTTTGGCGCGTCCGGCTGGCCACCCTGGATCGCTGGGGAAGACGGTCATAAACTACTGCTCAGCCTACTATGGCTCCAAGAGGGCCTCCAATAGGGCGCTGGTCGGCATCAAATCAGCCTTGGATGATCCGCTTGGCCTCCAAATAAGCTCAAACTGCCTCCAAGAGGGCCCCGGATGGCCCAGGATGCCCCAAGATGGCCTCAAGACAACTCCAGAGGCCCCCAAGACGCCCAAAGAATGCTCCAAGGCAGCCGCAAGACAGCCCTACAATGTCCCAAGACAACTAATCAGGCCCCGAGAGGCCCCCAGACGGCCTCCGACGGCGACCAACGGCCCAAGAGCGCCCTAAGACTGCCCAGAATAGCCACCAGATGGTCCAAGAGGGCCCTGGGAGGCTCCCTAGAAGGCCAAACAGGCCCGACAACAGCACCAAGACGGCCTTCCCCCAGCGTCCCCACGATGGTTTCCCCAACGACTGGGATCAGACGCTGCCCACTAGCACGTCTGAACTCGGGGCAGACATTTCACCACACTTTCGTGTCCGAAAGGCAGGGCGCGGCGGTAACTCGGCAGATGCGTTTCTGATAAGCTAGGATGGGAAGGAGGAAGGGAGGGATGAGACAGCGCCCTCCGCCCCCACTCCGAACACCCCCGACGTACTTGTTCTCCGACAGCGCAACGAAAGCTGCACACATTCTTGACTCATGATCGACGCTGGCCAATTTTGGGTGCTGTATTTGTGTTTGGTGTTTCCCAAGGATGTTTGACACTCCAGCGGTTTGGATCCGTTGTCGGGGGCAATGTTGTCATCCCGAGTCGTGTTTTGACGGCTCCATGGGGCCTGCGGAGCCCCCGAGGCCGAGAATGGCGAGACAACGTCCGTCCTCACATTATTGTTACGACGCGAAGAAGTCTGGGCTGGGCAGGAGGATGCGGGGGCGCCAGACGGCTGTCCAAACCTGCGGCCCTGGAGAATGAGGACCCCAGGAGGCAGAAAATGGCGAACACACATAGAGATATGTCCGTTGGGTCCGGCAATCGGGTCCCCCCCCCCCCACGGGAACTTTTGGTAAACCGAGGCACTGGCGCCCCCCGAAAAACACTGCGGCCGTGGGCCAAAACGTTTCACGAGGTGGGATCTCGAGAGTCCTGGTCGGCGATGTCCTGCTTTAGTAACTGGAGGGGCCCTGCTGCACCAACAGGAGGCGGGGGCGGACGGCTGCCCCGCCTGCGTCGTCGCTCTGCCTCCTGGCCAGCGCCTTGAGCGCCCGAGCCGCAGGCTGGACGCCGGTCATATTTTCACACCCCATCGGGGGAGAGAGGGAGGCAGAGGCAGAGTTGGAGGGAACGGCAGAGGGATGATGTTCATGATGATGGTGATGATGGTGACGATGATGATGGTGGTGATGATGCTGTTGATGATGACGATGAGGATGATGATGGTGAGGATGAGGATGATGATGATTACGACGACAACGATGATGATGATGATGAGGATGATGATGATGCTGATGATGATGCTGATGATGAGGAGGGGGAGGAGAATGTGGATGATGATGATGATGATGATGATGATGATGATGATGACGACGACGATGATGATGATGCTGATGATGATGAGGATGAGGATGATGACGATGAAAAGGAGGAGGGGGAGAGGAGGAAGAGGAGGTGGAGAGGGTGACGGAGGGAGGAGAGGGAGGAGGTGGTGGAGGAGGAAGGGAAGGGCGGAGGAGGGAGGAGAAGGAGACGGAGGAGGAGGAGCACAGCGAGTGGCACACGTGCCAAGTGCTCAGCTTGAAAATGAGCACTGATGTTCCATGGCACGCCGTTTCTTTCGGAACCCTCGAGGATGCTATCCCCTTGGCCTGGCAAGACTGACCTTCCCCCCGGCGCAGCGTGCGCTGTCCTGTCGGCGTACCCGTGTCTGGCATCGGGCATGTGCACCGATGGCTGCCCGTCGAATTGCACTACCTTGCCAGAAACTTCTGGATCACCCATGTTCTGTGGCACACACGCGCGCTCCCGTGATGACGCAGCGCGCCACACGCCCAGCGTGTGCTCTGCACTATGGAACTCCGGCCTCTCCCGCATCTCGGCGAGCCCTCTGCTCCAACCAGCCAACGCAAAGCAGAGGAACTGTGTGCGAGTGTAGCGCTTTGATATCATCGTCTACCCTGGTACATCTCCCCCCCTCCCCTATCCTCCTCGTCCTCCCTCCTCGTCCTCGTCCTCCTCCTCCTCCTTCCGAACCCCTCCCCCTCCACCTCCTCTTCCCCCCTTCCCAGGAGCCCAAACAGAGCCCCTGAACCTTCACTCCCCACTGCCTCTGCTTCCCCATCCTTCTTTCTCATCCTCGTCGACCCTCTCCTCCTCCTCCTCCTCCTCCTCCTCCTCCTCCTCCTCCTTCTCCTCCACCGCCGCCCCCTGGAACCCCGTCCTCCTACCTCTGTGTCCTTCTTCTGGCCCCCTCCTCCGCCCCCTCCCCGTCCTCGTCCTCATCCTCCTTGTCTCCTTGCTTATCCACGCCCCCTCCCCGTCAAACTCAGGACTCCTCCTCTCCTCCTCCTCCTCCTCCTCCTCCTTCTCCTCCTCTCCTCCTCCTCCTCCCCTGCTCCTCCTCCTCCCATTCCTCCTCCTCCTCCTCCTTCTCCTCCTCCTCCTCCTCCTCCTCCTCCTCCCATTCCTCCTCTGCAGCCCCCTGGAACCATCCACCTCCTGCACTCAGGAACCCCACTAGAACGGGATCGGAAAGGATCGCAACCACTTCGGGTCACCACCTCGGACTGATCACATCCGGCTGTGATCGAGCCGAAGTGGTTGCGATGAATTTTGGGGAGCTGTACTATCGTTTGGCGGGCGTGGTGTCACAAGCCCAAGTGCCCCGACCGATCTCTGGGGAATACTTCAGAAGGACCACTCGGGGGAACACGCGCGCCCTCTTGACTAAGCGGGTCGTTTGCGCACCTCTCTGTGTCTCCAACCCTCTGTCTGGTTCCATCTCTCTGTCTGTCTGTCTCTCTGTCTTCATGTAGGGCTGCATGTCCATCTATGTGTGTGCCTGCCTGTCCGCCTTGTCTGTCTGACTCTCTACCTCCTTCTGCCTAGCTAGCTGTCTCTGCCTACCCCTCCTCCTGCCCCTCCTCCTCCTCCTCCTCATGCCCCTCCTCCTCCTCCCCCTCCTCCTTCTCCTCCCTCTCCTCCTCCATCCTCCTCCTCCTCCTCCTCTCCTCCTCCTCCTCCACCTGCTCCTTCTCCTCCTCCTCCTCCTCCTCCTCCTCCTCCTCCTCCTGCTACTCCTCCTCCCCCTCCTCCTCCTCCTCCTCCCCCTCCTCCTCCCCCTCCTCCTCCTCCCAGACCCCGAGGCGAGCCCGGCGCAGCGTCTCCTGCGCGTCCGTGGGCGGCGGCCCAGAGCCCGCTGGTCTCTGCCGCCCGGGCGGCGCCGCGGCGGTGTCCGCGGCGGGCTCCTGCCGCGGCCCGTCGCCGTCGTCCTCGTCGCCGGCGTCGTCCTCGTCGCCGTCGCCGTCGTCGTCGTCGTCGTCGTCGTCGTCGTCGCCGTCGTCCCCGTCGCCGTCGTCGTCGTCGTCGTCGTCGTCGCCGTCGTCGTAGTCGGTGCCCGCCGTCGTCGGTGCCCGCCGTCGCCGAGGCCCCAGACGTGCCTGACGTTGCAGAAGAATTACGGAGGTTAGGAGGCAAGTACTGGGAGGTCCTCATCGGAAGGACTCAGGGGAACTTCCTCGACGTCAGGGGGGCAACTACTGGGGGGGCTGCTACGCCGGAGTAGGCCGCGGACCCAGCGGGAGTGAGCTGGATTAGATGGTATTAAGCCGGGTCAAGCGGGACTAAGCGGGAGAAACACTGACTTCGGACCAGGGAACCGGCAGAATTTGACCTTCCCAGGAGTTACATCCGGACAGAGTTTGTGTTGCAGCTTTCGGGGTCTGAGGGCCCTCGCCAAATCCCAGGAAAGGGTCTGGACTTCCGGGGGCAGTGTACAGAAAGAACATGACATCGCATGTCTGGGGCCGTCGTTTTCGTCCCAGTTGTCGCGGCCGCTGCCGTCGTGGTCGTCGTCTTCGCCGTCGCGTCGTCTTCGCCGTCGCGTCGTGTTCGCCGTCGTCGTCGTCGTCGACGACGTCGTCGTAGTCATCGTCGTCGTCGTCGTCGTCGTCAGCTTCGCCGTCTTCGCCGTCGTCGTCGTCGTTGTCGTCGCCGTCGTCGTCGTCGTCATCGTCGTCGTCTGCGCCGTTGTCGTCGTCTTCGCCATTGCCGCCGCCTTCGTGGTTGCCGCCGTTGTTTGAGGGGGTTTTCTGTCAGAACTCCAACACAAGCATGCATAATGATCGTAGAGACTCGGCGGGTTTGGGGGTCGATTTACTGGGTTCAAAGACGAAGGGGAGGAGGAGCAGCAGCAGGAGGAGAAGCAGGAGGAGTAGAAGGATGCGCGAGGATCGAGAATGAGGAGGGAGAGCGGAGGGATGGATGGGGCCGTCCTGATTCGTTCTTGCGACGTCTGGGGCGGCCCTGGGGACGTCCTGCGAGGCCAGCCGCGGCGGCAACGGCTTCCGTGGCGGCGGCGGCGGCCGCGGCGGCAGCGGCGGCGGCGGTGCCGCGGCGGCGTCCTGCGAGGAGAGCCGCCGCGAGCCGCCGCCGCGGTGCGCCTTCCGCCGCGCGAGCCCGCTGGCGAGCGGCCTCAGCCGCTGGCGCCGCGGGCGGCGCGCGGAGGCGGCACCGCAGCCGCGGCGCCGCAGGCGTGCGGCGCACCTCGCCCTGCTGCTGCTCGGGCAGTGGGTAAGGAACCAGTGTTATGTCGGGCGTGTCCCCTACAAGGGGATTTTTGACGAAAAATAAAACATACCCCCAAAATACCCCAAGAAGGTCAACAAATACTCTAAAAATGATCCCCAGACTAGTTTTAGAATATTTTTTGACTATTTCGGGGGTATCTTTTTATTTTTCGTCGAAAAACCTCTGTAGGGGGACAGGCTCGATTTTAAACCAGTGAAGAGGGAATCCAGGATGTCTGGGAGCCGGCAGAGCACCAGTCGTGGAGTGCCCATGGAGATCACCGCCGCCCTCACGAGATGAGGAGCCACTGGATAAGGAATCCAGGGTGTCTGGGAGCCGGTAGAGCACCAGTCGTGGAGCGACCATGGAGATCACCATCGCCCCCATGAGAGGAAGAATCCTCCAAGGCCTAAGGCATCCTGGGCACATTCCTGAAAGAACGTCCCCACCGTACCTGCATGAAATACACGGGGGCAAACGGGTCCTGAGCCTGAGATTCTGGCACCGCATTTTGTTCACACTGGGCGTTTGCGCCCGTTGTCGAGGCTCGGGACCATCACAAATCGATCTGGCTCGATAACGTGCGGCAGAAAAAACAAGAAGGTTTTGTCAAGGGCCCCAATCGTGATTTTCGCGATGTTGAATCCTTCTCGCAAGGCCGCATCTCAAGGCCTGAGGTGGTCTGGAAAGACCAAGGATGGAGAATTGCTCCTGGGGTCCAAGACCCGTTTCCCTCAGGACCCGCTTACTGCATGCCGATCCTACTCCTAATCACGCTCCTCTTCCATGCTTTACTTCTTCTCCGGCCCGCCTCCCGCTCCACCCTCCCGGGGCCTCCTCGCTCCCCTCGCCATCGCTCGGACGTCCATTTCCCATGCATTTGTCGGTTTCGTGCGTGTTTTTTGTTGCTCGATGGTCCAGGATCGTCCTCAATGGTTCTCGCCGAGAACAAATGCACACGTCCGAGCGATGCCAGGTCCCTGGATCCCCAGATCCAAGCGGAGCCCTGGGCGCCGTGGAGCCCCAGGAGCCCCCCAAGCCGCTGCTGCTCCCCGCTCCGTCCCCTGCTCCGTAGTCGCCGCTGTCGCTGCTGTCGTCGTGGCTACCGCCGTCGTCGCCGCCGTCGCCATTGTCGCCGCCGCCGTCGCCGCTGTTGTCGTCGCGGCCGCCGTCGTCGCCGTTGTCGTGGTCGTCGAAGATGGGGAATGTTTGTTGGGTGTTTATGCTGTTTTGGTTTGCCTCGAGGGGGGGGGGCGCACACCGCGGGGCATCGAGCGCCGACCCCCTCTTGCTCCGGGTGGGAGGGGGAGGAGGAGGAGGAGGAGGAGGAGGAGGAGGAGGAGGAGGAGGAGGAGGAGGAGGAGGAGGAGGAGGAGGAGGAGAGGAGGGAGAGGAGAAGGAGAGGGGGATGAGTAACACTGCCAAAGGAGAGGTCAGAGAAGGTCAGAGGGAGAGCAAAAAGGGGTGCGGTATCGGAGAGGACGTTTCTGCACCGCTGTGGAGGACGCCACCCCACAGCGGAAGCTCAGCGACAGGCCACGCCCTCAACGGAAGGACTACCAGACGCAGCGAACAGGACCAGGAGTGGGGGAAAAGGGGTTGACAACCAATGGCTAATGTCAGGTCGGGCATGTCCTCCTACAGGCGGATTTGGAAGGAACGCTGAAAAACCGCAGAAACAACAACAAAATAGTCAACCATATTTCAAGACAATTCGCCACCTCTTCCATGATCTGTGGCTACTCCTCCTGTAGAGGGGCATGCCCGACTTGAGGCTGATGAGTAACAGGTGGACAGAGGAGAGGGACGGGGTTCAAGGGGCTCAGGCGCGGTTAGGGGGCCACAAGCGAACCCTACCCCTAACCCCCACGATTTTTGAGGGGGAGGGTGGGGCTCACTTCGCTCGGGAGCTCCCGAGCGAAGTGAGCCCCACCCTCCCCCTCAGAAATCGTGGGGGGTAGGGGTAGGGTTCGCATGCGGCCCCCGAGCGGGACACCTCGGGCCAAGCTCCTCCTCCAGCGGTGGTCTTCCACTGGCGGGGGGGCGCAACCGGGGCGGAGCGGCCTCGGCCTCCCGCATAGAGGGGACGGCCGGGGCAGGCGGATGCCATCCCGCCGATCCCAAACTTCCAGCGGCTCGAATCAAAAACGAGACGCCTGGGTCTTCAACACGTCCAGGCTGGAAACCAATCCTGGGCCCTGGGGCCGTCAGCAGAACGACTTCGAATGGCAAGCCGGGCCAAAGGGAAGAGGTCAGGGGACCAAAAGGGGCCCATGCCACAAACAAACCGAGCCGCCGCACGTCTGGGTATGCGCGCCGCCGGCAAAATCGCGTGAGCCAGAGGCCTGGGATCACACGCGGCCTGGCTGATGAAGGACGCGCGGGCGCACGTCAGCACAAAGTGTACCGCACCTGCTATCACCCCCTTTCTCTCAAGCTGTGTCTCTGTGTGTCTCTCTCTCTCTCTCTGCCTCTCCCTCCCTCGCTCGCTCTTTCTCTATTTCTAGGTATCTACCTCGTTCTGTGCATGTGTGTGCCTTGCCCTGCCTTTGCGAGCTCTTGCTGGTTCCCACAGAACGGAGCGGCGACGCATATCGTTCCCACGTCAGTGTTTCGCCCAGGCATCTCCAGTATCGGGTGGCCCTGATGTTTTGCCACAGCTACACTGGTCGCATCCCGCGCGCCTTCTGGCTTGCTTGCTCTCTCGCTTTATCGCTTGGTTTAGTGCGTGCTCGCTTGCTTGCGCTTCCCCGTTTCCTACGTTCCTCCTTGCTCATCTGATTATAGTATGTCTTGTCTTGCCTTTATCCCTCCTCACTGGCTGAGCTATTACTTCCCAATTTCCCAACATGCTCCCTCTCTTGCTTCATTGCGTGCTTCCTCGTGTGGGCCGTTGCGTCATTGTTTTCTTGCTGACGCTCGCGCAATGCTCGGCCTCATTGCTTGCTTGTTTGCAACCCCTGTCGATGTATACTGCGTGCTGCAACCTGTCTTTCTTCTGCCCTTTAAGGTTCACCACCGGGGGGCAACTCGGTCCCGCGCGCAACCTTCCTGGCCCAAGGCTGCTCACTCCCTCGCTGCACAAACGATATCAAGAGCACAGCTCCCGAGGCGGGAGAAACACTCTGCGGCCACAGCTTCAGCACGAGATCTGGCCTCCACAACCCTTAACGTCTGCGTGCCACGAGCGCCATGTGACATATACTTGCGAACTCGTAAGCTTGTGCATCTTTGCCGCCAGATGATCTGCCGTCGCCCCTTCGTATGTGTTGTTTATCTAATTTCTCTTATTCTGGGTGTCTGGGTGCCGTAGTGAGTCGTCCGAGATTCGCACATCACTGACTCGTACTCGAGAGGACTACAGGATCTGCTTGCCGCCGCAACCTGGTCGAAGACCCTGTGACAATCACCGATATCCAAACAACTGACTGGGAGGGCGGGTGGGGCAGAACTCAAACGTGGTGGGCACAGGCCTCGGCAGCTGCTTTGGAAACGCCCGATGCACAGCGAACAACGGCTGGAAAGCGTACATGTCCAACCTGAGAAGCCCCAACGCACGTGCGTTCCACCAATTTCGCTGTCCGATTTGACCCGTACGCGGCGAGAGACGGCGTTCCTACTGCCAAAGTTTGTCCTCGACTCTGCCCCGGTTCCTTGCCTTGCCCGCGTTTCTTTGTCGGCCCGCCCTGCTGTCCGAATAAGAGTGCGCTGTTTTTTCCACCTGTGCTCACGCCCACGCACCGCCTGGTGTATGGCTTGTCTGTCTGACTGTCTGTCTGTCTCTGGAGGGGTGAGGTTTTCGAACGCTGATGGCCCTTGCCAGGCCTCTGGGGACCTCGCCGTGGACCTCGGGGGGTCATGATCTGGCGGGGCAGCAACACTGATAGACCAGTTCCAACACGCCTCTCCCCACCCGTTCCAGCGATTGGCCGTTTCCTGCGCTGGGGTTCGGGGTGATGTGCAAGAGTGCCAACTTTCGTTAAGCTTGGTGGCAAATCCAAGCTGCAAACAGCCTGGTGGCAAACTGGAGCCTCTGCATGTCAATGTCAGTGTACATCACACATACTTCTATGCGAAAGTCTGTAGTAGCTGCCTCACACTCTCTCTCTCTATGTATATATATATGTATAGATATATGTTTTAGGCTCTCTCAGTGAATATACACAAATATAAATACGCATGTGCATATACGAATAGTTACACATTTGTATGTCGGTATGTACACATATGTCGTGCACCGGCTCAAGCAAGTGCCACACGACATGTTCATGTGATGCAGGTAATGAAACAACTCAGACGGCGAATTGGAAAACAACGCCTCGCTGGCGACAAACTACCCATATATGCTTCAACCCGTATGCCCACACCACCCAAGAGCATTGCTGCCCCTGACCTCAATCAGAAATGTATCATATCTCCCCTCCTCGACAAGCACCCCACCTTCTCCTCCTCCTCCTCGAGCTGCACCCTATCTGTCACTTCTGCCCTGTGACATTCATGGTGGCCTGTTAGCCCCATCGCCAATTCGAATTGCACTGCGACCGAGACAATCCAGCCGAGCAGCTCCTAAGAGGCAGAACCACCGAACAGTGCAGCACGAACTAGCTGGGCATCGAGACCGCCCGCAAATGTCTCTGAGGTGCCTTTGTTCCATCCAGGCTCACACGGCTGCTTGACTGGCCATCTTCGGCTTGGCGTTCCCGACCCGACCCTGCATTCCCCTCGGTGAGGTCGCTCTCGCGCCCGCGAAAGGGCCGACCTCGTGATGGACCTGAACGACTCCTGGCCGGCGGTGTCCCAGATCTGTAGCTTGATCTGGGCCGGGCATCAACCACACTTACCCACCATCTGCATGGATGGCTTCGGGCCCCAAGCTTGACGACATGTTAGGCTGTAGCGCGTGACACTGCATAATGACGGACGAATGGCAAGACGCCTGGAGCTTCGAATCCATAGTCTGTGGCGTATTGGGTCGATGTGCGCGCTCGCCAACACAGCTAATGCGATTACGTAGCGATACAACTAGCTCCGTGGCGTCAGGTGGCCCGCTGGATCGCACTCATGTTTGGTAGTTGGGTAGGAAAACTTCCTTACGCGATACGGCGATACGCTTCTACATCAATGTGACGGTGAGCACCTCCGGGAATCGCCACAATAACACACGCAGGTGTCTGTGTTCCGAGTCGCCGGCTCTGAAGACATACCAGAACGAGATGCTTTCAATCAGTCGCGATTGGCAAGGGGCGGATTCAAGACCTGTTTGTGGTCGATAGTGATGAGGCGCGCGCCAAACTCGACACCTCGCCAGCCCCTCGCTGCATTCTACCTTTTCCTGCCCTCTGTATACGTTACGCGTGCTGCTTCCTTCGGCTGATGCGTCAAAAGGGTGCCTGTATTCCCATGAACCCTGACGAAGGATCGACCACATATCTAAGACGACTGTTCGATTGATGACACACTAATGCACCAATGGCAGCTGATGAAAACTCTTCGCTTTGCGCGCTCATCATCCTTTACCAAGCCGAATGCTATATGCTGTTCGCGTTTACTTGGATTGGCCTGGCGTTCCTAAAGACATCCAATGTAACATGGATGTTTCTGCGACCCTGTACAGTCAGAACAGAAAGCGTGTAGTGTAAAACGTCCCTCGCTACAACACCGTTGCACATCAAAGTGCGTCATGAGGTTGGTCCGCGACGTGGTGGCAACATGATCCCGGACGGCCCTCGGCTAGAATACACGAAACAAACACATACAACAATAATGAATTGTTGAAACGATCACATCCAAAGTTATCATAACCGAGCAAAGAGGAAGGGCGGATGGCTGGGGAGAGCGTGCGAGACTTCGGGCCTTCATAAAGGAACTGGGGTGCCAGTCTTCTAAGGAATGTTGACAATCGCTGCATACATCTGGAACTTCTCAATGTCCGCCGCTCGGCGAGTCAATTGGATATTGGATCAAATTCCAGCAAACTCAACGCACTACGCGTTCCACACATCGCCTCCGCTTACCGTTTGCATTACTCCGCCCCCAATGCCAATGGTGAGGTCGTGGTCGGTCCGGAAGCGCTTGTCCTCTTGGGATTGCGACAATCGCCCTGCTGCTGTGTACACCCATCACATCTCTCGTCCTTCACTTCACCATTCCCTTGAGTGTCCTACTCATCCTGGTCTACTTGTTCCGCGTTCTATTTAAAAATGCTTCTCATCGAAATTTACTCTGATGACGTTTGCCCCCCCCCCCCCCCTGCTTTGCCATAAAAGCAGAGCGACGTGACCGAGACAGCCGGCAACATGCGTTTCAAAACCTCAGCACACTGATTATGGACAACGAATATGCACCGGATGCTGACCAGCGGAGGCCTTCCTCTCCAGGAGGACGTCCAGAATAGTGCATGAGTTGCTCGCTTACCCCTGCGAGCCTGTCTCACTCATCCCAATGATGTGCAATACTGTCGATTCTAACTTGTCTACAAACGCCAGCTTTATTACTGTTAACGGCACTGCCATCAGCAGCGGTAGCAGTCTCACGAGCAACGTGAATTTGGGTAGTAGATCGGTAGTAGCGATGATGACGGACGGTGGCCGTCATGGTGCGGTAGAGATGGTGGTACAGGTGGCGATTGCAACAGCCGCAACAATAGTGGCAGCCCTGCAAGCGGATACGGCCAAAGACCAGGGATGGTCGCAGAGGGTGCCAAGCAGAAAAGAGATGATGAAGGAGATGCTGACCATGACCAACTGTCAGATTCGTTGATGCCGCGGGGATTCTGCAGCGGCAAACGGTATCGGGACGGCTGTTACCACCCACATGACCACGATGCGCATTTCCAAGTACTGCTGCCAATTAGATGACACAAGTTGTAACAGTAGTAGTGTTGCGCACGAATCGAAGTAGGAGTAGCGAACATAATACATGAGCAGCGGTTGTACTAGTCGTGCTGGGGGTAATTACAACCGTAGTGGACTTGATAAACAACACACACACATGCATATAAACGAACTGTCGTCATGCCATGCCTAGACATCGTTATGGCAACAAGGAGAACAATATGCCTCTGCCTCCGTGCCGGGAGGCCCGACGTGGAGTGTCCGCACGTCCCTTCGACTTCTCTGCTTTGACGATTGTAAGTGCCATTGAGAGCTGTAAGGAACCCGTGCCACCAAAATTCTGGGATTATTGGGCGCTCCAGCGCTTTCTTTGTAGGTGCCGTGGCCTTTCCCGAGGTCTTGGGAGTGCGGCTGGGGGTCCACATGCCCAGACGGGGCCGTCCTGGAGCCTTCTCGAAGGCGCCTTGGACAGTCTTGGAGACCCCTAGGGGCCAACCCAGACTGCCAACAATCTTGAGAACAATCTCAGTTTCTGCATGATTCCAGCCAACTCGCCGCTTCGGTCGTAAACGCGTCGAAAATAGCCCAAGCGAGGCCCCGGAGATAGCAGGGCCCCAGAGGCCCGCAAGAGAGGCCCAGCATCCATCCAAAAGGGCCCCAAGGTGGGATCCAGGAGAGGGAACTCGACGAGTATTTGTGCCCAGCCCACCCGAGACCGTCTGGAGGTCCCCGAGAGGAACTCAATGCGCTCCCCAACAAGCCCCGAGGAGGCGTCCAAGGAGCCCCAGGAGGCCCCCTAGAGGAGCCCACGAGACTCCAAGAGGCCAAAAAGAGGCATCCAAGAGTCGATTTCGTGCACGACGCATTAGCGGTGGCAGGATGAACCGAAGGCCACTAAACACTTGTCGTCAGCCTCGGTGTTCACTTCTGGGCCTCACCGCCCCTTCTTCACTGCAAAGGGCACATCAATTTCCCTGACGACACCAACATTGGCAAAACAAACAAGGAAGATCGCTCCGTGAACTGAAGGAGGAGGCAGGACTTGCCAACGCCAGTGTCACCGATGATGATGTACTTGAATAGGTATGCGTAAGACATCCCTGCGGGAACGCGGCGGAACATGGCTGGGCACATCCCTGCAACATGTTCGGATTCCGCTCGCGCACGCTCTACTGCCAATCGTTGCTTAGCGTAGCTGATGTCTGAGTACTGCTTACTTACAGCCGCTCAGCTCATGAAATCGGCAAAGGGGATGCAATCTGAGCGGGTAGACGCCCGAGCCCACGAGTTGCACTGGGGATTGAGCTTGGAGGGACAGACTGAAGGGGCCCTGGGACACACAAATAAATACATACAAATAACAATATTCCCCATATTTTCCTATATTTTCTGGGTTATTGTCTTCCCCCCCACTTCCCATATTTTCCCATATGTTCCTTGCAGTCGAGGATTACTTGTGTCTGTGTTTTTTTTCCCTCCTGGCAGACATTCGACAAAGGGCCATACGTCGAGAGGCCTCCAAAGGCCTCTGGAGATCCCCGGGTATCCCTGGAGGTCTCCGGAGGTCTCCCGACGTCTCCGGAGGCCCCCAAGAGGCGAGCCCAACAGAAACACAAGACGCCAGGATCGAGTGTTGCTAGAAGTACCCCTGGCCCAAGGTACCCCCAGGATTCTCGGGGTGACCCAGACGGCCTCCAGGGCACACCTCGCGAGGCCCAGAGGGCCCCAGGGGCTCCAACGTGGAGCGAAACGCTCAGGGCACCTTGGGCCAGGGGCACTTCTAGCAACACCCGACAGGAAACCTCCGAGGAAGATGGTCCGGCTACGCGCCAGCAAGAGCGGCCCTGGGCAAGAGTGACCTCTGGAGAGCGGCTTTGGCAGGCCACGAGGGAGCCAGACCAAAGCAAGCGTGCAAGTGCTGTGGGGGACCCAAGTGGGACCGCACCGAAGGCCACTCCTGCAAAGGACCACCATTACGAGCAAGCGGACGGTGAGGATGGGCGCGCAGCATTCCCACCGTCTCGAAGACGCTCAGGTCTCCTGAGGCCGCCGCTGCTGCTGCTGCTGCTGCCAAGACTTATCCCTCTCCTGGCCATCGCTCGGGCGTCCATTCCCTGTGTTTCTTTGTCGGTTTCGTGCGTGGTTTTTTCGTCAAACGATCAGGGATGCTCCTCGATGGTCCTCGCCGAGAAGAAATACACACGCCCGAGCGATGCCAGGCCTCTGAGGGGGAACGATGAGAGGGGGGACTGGCGAAGGGAGGGAAACGTCGACCTGGATGAACGTATGAAAACCGACCCCCGCCCCCAACATGAGGAACGTGAGACCAACTAGACCGCGCGGGCGGGCCGTCCTCCCCTCTGCAGCAACTGGCAATAAGCTCGCTTACAGCAGGCGCCCTGGGCGCCTACACTTTTACGCACATTCGCCAGACTTGCAAAACGCGGATGTCCAAAAGTCCTTGTTGTGGAATCGACGATGCATCGTTTTGGGCGTCCCGGCAGTTCTCGGCCTCCCAGGGCCCGCGCCAGGCCTTCCAGGGCCAGAAGCAGCGGATGCCTGGGACAGTATGCACGCAGGCTGGACGACCACACCAGTATGCTGCGGATGGGTCACTCCAGCATCGAATAGGAAAGTCGTGATCGCATCGCTCGGAACCAATTCGTTGCGAATCGCCGGCGGATCGAATCGAACACCAGATCGCGAGCGGGTCAACTCGAATCGCAAACCCGATCGCAAGCGGGCCACATCGATCTGAAAACTGGATTACGAGGATGTCGAGTCGATCCGCGGAACCGGATCGAGCCGGATCGAATCGCGAAGCACCATGACTGTGTGCAACAAGCGGGTGGAAACGACTCGCGGGATATCGGGAGCGGCCAAGAGCGGGGTGTCCAAGAGGGGGGGTGCAAATCATGACCGGCGGCATGTGCGCGGCCCAGCGGGGGGGCCAGGGACGTAATGAAATAAGAAGAGGCGCCATGAAATCTGGGGAAATATCATGACCCCCGCCATGATATCCACCCCCCCCTAGTCATCACCCCCCTCTTTTCCGCCCCCGAGGATACTGTGTACAATCTATCCCTCCCGACAAAGGACGTGCAGCCGGGGCTCGCTGCAGAGGACGCCCGAGAGTGAGATCTGAGGAAATATCACGGCCCACGCCATGATATCCCCCCCCCCCCTAGTCATCACCCCCCTCTGTGCCGCCCCCGAGCCACCAGACCAGACCCCAGGGCCATCGAGGAGCCGCCCGGGATCGAGAGCTGGCCGAGGGGCCGAGAGGTCCAGGGGGGGGGGGGGCACGCGCGTCTCGAGTAGGTGGCGACACCCGACCCCGAACGCCACCAACCACCAATTCTCCTGGATCGCTGGGGGGCGGGCGGGGGTGGGGCTCGGATGTTGCCGCGCGTTCGACGAGTTCCGAACCCCGCCCCCGCCCCCGATCGAGCTGCCCGAAGCGCTGATCGGCGAGGGGCGTTCGACGAATTCCGAACCCCGCCCCCGCCCCCGATCGAGCTGCCCGAAGCGCTGATCGGCGAGGGCAGGGGTCGGATTCCGCCGCCGATCGAGCGAACCGAGCCGCCTCGAAACTCGGGAGAGGGGGCGCGGGGGCACGAGAACCAGGGGCCAGCCCGAGGCTCCATATGGGGGCCACATGCGGACCCTACCCCTACCCCCTTATTGAAAATGTTCGGCTCCTTGGGTGGCGCCTCGAGGGCCTCTTGAAGACTTCGTGGGCACTCCTGCTAGCATACCTGGCAGTCTTGAAAGCATCTTGAGCCACTTTGGAACAACACTGGGCCGCACACGAACCCCACCGCGTCGGCGTGTCCGGCTGCACTCCTCGCCGCGCTGCCGCGCTTGAGCGGGGCGGCGGCCGGGGTGCGCGCCGCCGTTGGCCGCCGCTGCCCCTGCCGCCCGCCTCCCCTCGCCCCCCTCGCCCCCCCCCTCCCTCCCTCCCCTCGGCGCCCTCCTCGCCGTCGTCGGTCGTTTCCCCTCCTGCCGCTGGGCCCCTCCACGATGATGGCAGAGCAAGAGAACGTATCGGGCTGCACTTCGGCGTCCCGCGTCTGGCCGGGAGCCGTCGGGTCGGCAGCAGGGCCGGGCTACAGGCCGGGGACCCGGTCTGCTCGTTTGCGGGCGCCGTCGGGGCGCCGGGCACACGCGCAGGGTCGGCAGGCCAGCAGTGACGGAGGGCTCTGGCTGACTCTCTCCCCCCCTTGCAAGGTCCAGGGATGAGGACGGGGCCGCAGGAGGAGGAGGAGGAGGAGGAGGAGGAGGAGGAAGAGGAGGAGGAGGAGGAGGAGGAGGAGGAGGAGGAGGAGGATGAGGATGAGGATGAGGAGGAGGAGGAGGAGGAGGAGCATCGGGTCTGTACGCGACCAGACGGGGCGGGCGCCGTGGCCGTTCCAGGACGCTCGGGAGCGCTCGGGGGGATTTCTGGGTGTCCTCTGGGGGGCAATCTGGAGGCCTCGGAAGCTCGTCTGAGGCGAAGAAGCCAGAGATGCAAAACGAGATGATCGCCCGAAGGTTTTTCAAGGATTTCAGCTCCTCGGGCGCCACCGCGGTGGCCTCTTGAAGACTTCTCTGGCTCTTGGGAATACATTCAGACGTCTTGAGGGCATCGTGAGCTGTCTCCGAGTAGCCTTGGGCCGTCTCGGGGGCCCTCTGGACAGTGCTGGGCGTCCCTTGGGGTTCATGTCAGCCGTGTTGGAGCTTTTGGTTGTCCTGCTTGGGAGTCTCTTGGGGGCTTCGTGTGAGCTTCTTGGGGCATGGTCGGGGCCTCTTGGGTCCTGACGGGGCCTCTTGGAGCGTCTTGGGAGCAATTCTGAGGCCTCGGAAGCTCATCTGAAAATGTGGATATCCTTCAGGTTATTGAAAATGTTTGTCTCCTCGGGCACCTCCTCGGGGGCCTCTTGAAGACTTCTTGGGCACTCCTGCTAGAACAGCTGGCAGTCTTGAAAACATCTTGAGTCACTTTGGAGCAATATTGGGCCGCATCAGGAACCCCCCTGAACTGTCCTGGAGGCTTCTCGGGGCTCCCTAAAGCCATGTGGGAGTTTTCAACCACCTCAGAAGGGACCCAGGATCCCTGCCACCGGAAGTTGCCCTTAAGGCCTCGGCCCTGGGCCCATGGTATATGTATGTGATCATGCGTATATATTTAGATCGATGTGTGAGACAGAGAGAGAGAGAGAAAGAGACAGAGAGAGAGGGCGAGAGACAGAACACAAACATTAGAGGGCGTGGTGTTGCGCATAGGCGATTCCCCTGAGGCAGTCCAGGCTGGTTTCGGCGCGCCCCCTGGGCAACCAAGGGCAGCCTCAACACTCCGACCCGTGGGGCGCAGAGAGATCCCGGAAAGCGCCGCCAGAAAGCGCCGCCAGGTTGCGGGCACCGCGCCGACCTCCCCTGGTGGCCTGTTGAAGCACTCTCCATGCTGGCTCCTTGCAGCCTGGAATGTCCTTCGCACGACTTGCGTGCGTTGAGCAGGAACCGACCGTCCCGGCATTCCTATAGTCATACCACGAAATGTTCTTAGAACCAAAAATGCTCGAATAACAGAAACAGTGTCTTTATATCATAAGCCCGATGTCTTCCAACAAGACAGTCCCAGCTAGAAATGTTCCAAGAATCTGTCGTGGAAGCCACAAAAGGTTCATAGAACATTGTCTGGTCAGGCTATAGGCGAGCCAGGACGCTTCGCCGCTGCTTGAGTGCGCGGTCGCCTCGGAGACACGGCCCGGCGTCCCGCGGTTTGCCGCACCCTGCTATATTACGGCTGTGCGTGTCCTGCCCCGCTCCTTGGGCTGGAGCTGCCGCTCGCCAGAACGAGTTGAAGCAATTCTGTATGCAATGCCAACACCTTGTGCGGACAGCCGTAGAAGAAGCACAACTGCACACGCATAGACACTTTCGGGGGTCCGCTCGGATTTCTGGGAACTCCGAGCAAGAAAACCGCGCGAACCTCCGAACAAAAAGTTCTTTCTCCGAGTGAAGAACCATCAGCAGAGGGTCCCTTGCACGCTACCCCGGAGGAGGGGCGGTCCACTGACTTCCGGCGACAACTAAACGTCTCATGCAAACAATGGTAATTACCAGGCTTCCGCGCACACGCATCCATATCAACGAATCTGCTGACTACGACATCCGAACAGAGATCTTTGTGTTCATGCAGCCCGTGAGGAGAGCGACCCCCCGATGAATGGAGCGAGAATAGGGCAGGCAGCCAAGAAAGGGGCGAGACGAGGGCGAGAGTCCAGGCGAGCGAGCATGTATTCTAGCAGGCTTCAGCCAGGCACCTCGGGAGCAGCACGCGCACTTTGCGGCTGCGCCTCGCGAGAACACGATAACGGGCAGTCAGGAGACCCTGAACCCCATCGGATCCAAGCCTCCCCGCAGCTCGCACAGCGTTAGCGGTCGTATAAATTAAGCCAGGAATTACCTCCGCAGATAGCACAAAACCAGAATTTACAATCGACGGAACCTTGACGGAGCCCGCACGACGCAGGCCAAGCATTGCGAACAGATCGGAGAAAAGGCACTGCAAAACTAGGATACTCTCTACCTGAAGTTGTGAGGTCGTCATTGGCCCAGTGAGTTTCCGGTAAGATGATTGCAATGTTCTGTGAATAGAGTCGAGCATGCCACAAGTGTTTCTTACACTGACGGGTATGTCTACCCAACAGACTTTTAACGAGATCGGTATCATTCCAACATTCAACAAGAAAGGTACCCGAGATGGGCCAGCACGGGTGTAAGACAGGGCGAGATGGTAGGGCAACAGGGGAAGGAGACGTGGAGCGACTGTACTTCCTCACGCCATACGGGATGCGAGGCGCGGACCCAACAGCCCCAGTATTCTCAGACGACTCAGGAGTAGAGCTAGAACTGGTCGAGGAGGACCCAAGCCACTGGTAGATGAGGAGTCGCCCCTCTTATTTTTGTCGGCAGCGACGGAGCCCAGGCCAGGAGGAGGTTCATCATGCATGAGATGCCCACGCTCTTCAGGAATACTCAGCACCACTGGTCTGGACCGTCAGGCAGGTTTCTTGTCGAGCTTGCTCAGGACAAGCTCAGGGAATGCGTTCAGCGCGGGCTCGGGAATCTCGAGCATCTTGGCACCTGGCATCACCATGAACGTAAATGCGTCCTTGCTACCTCCTGTGTCAGCACACTTGCCATCTTGACCAAATCGTAGGTCTGCGCATCATCAGAGCAGGTCAGGTGAAGCGTGCCAGTTTGTGGGTTGGCGCAAAGCCGAAAGGACTCCTTCCACTTGCCATGCTTGTCAAAAATGGCACGCATCATCTCCCAGCAATTGCCAAGAGCGAAACTTGTATGTCGAACGTGGCGAGGTTGATCCGATCCAACTCGAAGTGGCATGACTTGGCCAAACTTAGGGTCCTCCCACAGGAGATGGACAGCCGATCCTGCATTCTTGCCTCAGCTGAAAAACGTCCTGGCCGCCTCCACAGACTGAAAGTGGATGTTGTAACAGTACTTGTAGCTCTCGCGCTGGGGGACTGCACCATCGAGCAACGACCCTGCAGCTGCCTTGAGCAACTCACAGTGGTTCACGAAAACACGGCTCGGCAGCTTCCTGGTGAATCCCCGGATCCAGGTCTTGCAGCGGTCACCGGCTTCACCACCGTCTCGAAGAGGAGAGTGACTACGACGCTCAGGTCCAGCACGTGCTGGTGGGACAGGATATGTCGTACACGATGGTCCCGTCGAAGCATGCCTGGGTCTCTTGCACACTCTGGGGCCCAGGAAGCGGCTCCAGGAATCTGGGCCAACGACCTCCGCACTATCGGCACAGACAGCGGAGGATGCAGACGCTGCAGTAAAAGCTACCTCCTTCATGAGGGCGCTCTCCATGATGATCAGCTTGGCGTCCAACTGGGCGGAGGTGACCAGCTGGGACGTTATGGGGGCCTGCCCTCATCGAGCGGCTTCGCTTTGACGGAGGAGGGGGTGGAGGAGGAGGATGAGGAGGACGAGGAGGATGAGGATGACTGGGCCCTGGTCTGGTGGCATGGGGGCATGGGCCAGGCCTTCAAAGGGCGCGGACGTCACGACTCTGCCATTGGACCCGACCCTGGACGATCGACACTGCCGACATGTCGGAGCCGTCCTGAACTGAGACATTGCCCATCGGTCGGAAGAAGTAGGTGGAAACATGAAGCAGGAAGGCGTTGAAACTAGATTGGGTTCCGTCCGCCCCCTTGGGACCCTTGGGAGGACGGAAAAGTTGAAGCCGCTCGATCACTGAAGTAGGAAGGCGCTGAAAGTGGATTGTCATCTGGGGGCCCAGAAAAATGCCTGCTTTCAACGACCGAGGGGTAGGACTTCGAGAGAGCCCCGCTCGGGGGAGAGAGCGAAGCCTGGCGAAGGCGTCGACCCACGGCCGCGGCCTCCTCGGGCGCATACCGGCGTCGGGCTTCGCGGCCCGTCGGTCGGCAGAGGTGGGCAGAGGCCGGGAGCAGGAAGGCGTCGGAGGCAGACGGGGCTCCCGCCCGCCCCCCCCTGAAGAGGCCCAGGAAGGCACCCAATGGGAGGCCTGGAAATGGGCACCGACACCAACACAGGGTGTTGTCTCCACAGGGGGAAGATGGTCCTAGATTTCGGTGTTGGCGGTAGTGTTTCGGCCACCTTGGAAGCCAGAATATTACCACCATCACGGAGATCGGGATGTTCTTCCCTCAGTGGAGGCACACCGCCGATATCGGTGTTGCTGTCAACCTCTAGGCCTGCGACCCAACGCTCGCCTCTCGGGCCAGGAAGGCGCCCAACGCCGATGGGGATCTGGAGATCTGGAGGTCCCCGAATGCCGGCTGCCAGCGCTCATATAGGGGGGCCCTGGCCGTGCCTCTGCACGCGCCCCAGCCCCGCGCGGGGGGTCGGGGCGGGGGCACGGGCAGCCAACTCTTAGGAGGCCACATGCGAACCCTACCCCCACCCCCCACGATTTCTGAGGGGGAGGGCGGGGTTCACTTCGTTCGGGAGCTCCCGAGCGAAGTGAACCCCACCCTCCCCCTTAGAACTCGTGGGGGGTAGGGGTAGGGTTCGCATGTGGCCCCCTAGTTCTGGCCACGGGAGCCCGAACTTTTTTTGCACCCAGGGGCGGATGCAGCAAGGAGGGCACGGATCGAACGCCGGGCTACAGTTTCGGCGGTGGACAGACCTCCCTCCAGTAAGCCTCCCTCTAATGAAGACGGCCTCGGACCGAAACCGACGGACCTGGACACGCAAAAATGGCGGCCGCGACGGCCAATTCGCCAATCGACGTGTCACAGTAGGCGGCATATCAACCTCCGGGCAGTCAGCGAATATGACAAGGCTGCGCGGTGAGGAGGCAAGGGCCTCTGAAGGCAAGTGGACGTCTTCCGAGCGGAGCGCGGCCAGCGAACGTGCCCCACCTATGGGCCGAAGGAGAAGGATGCAAGGGCAACCTTGGAAAATCGCCCATCCTTACTATGCCCGTTGACTGTGACTGCATTGGGCGTGGATCAATGAGGTGGTCATAAATCGGGGGATCAGAAGCGGTCCCCTTTCGTGCCCCTTTCGGGCCCCTGTGGAGCCCCAGGGAGCTGGTTTAGGTACCATTTGAATACCTTTTCGGACCACCCTTGCCTCCCCCCCAATGATGACCCCCCATTACGCAACGCCCAACTGTAGGGCATTGATCGAGCTCCGGGTCAGCCCACCCGATACCCAACGGCATTCGACGCCCAAGGCCGACTGCGACCGTTGTTGGGCGGGCGGCGGTTGCCCCGAATAGACGAACAGGTCAACAGCTATACCGACATCGACTCCTGATCGGATCAGGCGAAAGGGGGGGATAGCAAAGGGGGGGTTTGAGAATCAGCTCACGTAGCTGATTTTCCCGGCGCCTTCCAGCGCCGGAGGCGGCTATGTATCGAGGAATGGGCCCCTCGGTGAGGCCGAAACCAGCTGCATGCAGCAAATTTCGTAACCCCCCCTTTCCCAATCCCCCCCTTTCGCCCGGCCCGAGACTCCTGATCGGATCGGGCAGGAACTGCCCCTCTCGCTTCCCGTCCCCAGCTCGATCGCACCCATCGGCCGGCGACACGCCGCCCTGCTCGGCATAAGAAAAGAACCAAGTCCCGGCGGCACTGGGCCCTCGACGCCGCGGCTTTCCGCTGGCGGCACTGATGCTCCTCACATTCCCCGGGCCCATCGAATTAAGTCGGGCCTGTCCCCCTACAGGGGGATTTTCGACGAAAAATAAAAGATACTCCCAATATGCCCCAAGAAAGTCAAAAAAAAAGAAAAAAATAGTCCCCGAACTATTTTTGGATTATTTGAAGGGTATTTCTTATTTTTCGTCGAGAATCCCCCCTGTAGGGGGACAGGCCCGACATAACCGTCGAGGGACCCGGGAGGCCGACACGGCCAAAAGCCTCGAAGGCTCGCCTCCCTCAGGACCCGCCTCCGCTGTGGCGACCTGCCGCCCCGCCCCCCCCTCCCCTCCCCGCGCGGCCGGCGGTCCTGTCGAATTGCGCGGCGCCCGCGGGAGCCGACTAGCTCTGAGCGCGGGGGGCCAGCGGGCTGGGTCGGACGAGCAGGGGGGAGTCGGACAGAGGGGCGAATCCGCAGATCAGCTCATGCAGCTGGTTCTCCAGGCGCCTCTCTCGGCGCTGGAGGCGCCAGACGTACAAAAAGGAAAGCGCCCGACCCTGAGATCCGACGCTGCAAGCAAAAAATGCAGCAGCGCGAAAAATCACGGCCGGAGCCCCAGACCCCACCTTCCTCCTGCGTTTCTCGAGCCGCGGCGATCTGTGCTGGCCCCGCGGGACCTGTGAAACTTCACGGCGAGGACGACAATGGCTGGGTTGGGAGGACGGGGCTGGGAAGAGACAGGGCACGACTGCGTAATCAGCACCTTCAGCATACGCGATAGTACAGATGACCTGATCCTCTCTCCCAGCCCTACAGTCAAAACGTATATTAAGGACGCGTGGTAAGGACGCAAGACCCTTGGAGGCTGAAGTTGGGATTTTTTGGGCGGCGGCGACCAGTGAAAACGGCAAAGGACGGGCCACAGAGGCAAGGACGCAAGGGCATCCCCTAGACGAAGGCGCGCGAATCCTTACTGGGCGCGTGGACCGTATCCTCCGAACCCGAGAACTGTCTTTCTGAAACGAGAGCTCTCGGTGGGAAAGCACTGCAGCGCCCCACTCTCCCCGTGCCCCCCCCCGCTCGTCGCCCGACCCGAGTATAGGGCGGGGCGGCGCGAGTACGGGTCTCCGCGGTCGGGAGCCGGCTGGCGGCGGCGGCGGCGGCGGGGGCGCGCGCCCGGCGGCGCAGTGGGCGGGCGGGTTCTGCTCGGAATGGGAGCGGCGTGGCGGCCAGTGCGTGCCCCAGGCATGCCCGCGGCGTGGACAGATCACGACGAGAGGCTCTTCGTCGTGTTTGGCCTCCGGCGGCCCTCGCCGGGCCCCGGGACCGCCAACAACAGCTCGGGATGGAACGCCGGCCCTGGGGAGAGGATCGGGACTTCGAGAGGGGCCCAGGAAGACACACTTGAAGAGACACAAACTCCAGGATCAGTTTTTGTCCAACATGTCATTGGTTTTCGTGTTCCACGCAATGCCCTGGGAGCTGAACCGAACGGTCATTCACTGTACCTGGGTGCGTGGCTGAAGTGAAATTCCGCGATGCGGATTCTTGTTGTTGTCGTCGTCCCACCCGCGACCCGCCCCGCGACCCACCCGCGACCCACCTCGCGACCCACCCGCGACCCACCCGCGACCCACCCCGCGACCCACCCGCGACCCATTCCCGCGACCCACCACCCGCGACCCACCCGCGACCCACCCGCGACCCACCTTTCGACCCACCCGCGACCCACCCCGAGACCCCTCCGGCGACCCAACCGCGACCCACCGGCGACCTATCCGCGACCCAACCGCGACCCACCCGCGACCCACCCCGCGACCCACCCGCGACCCACCCGCGACCCACCGCGACCCACCCTCGACCCATCCGCGACCCACCCCGCGACCCACCCAAAATTTTCGGCGCCTGCGGCGGGTTTCTCTTGCATTCGTTCCAAGTGGAGAACCTGCGACCCACCCGCGACCCAAACCGCGCCCGCGACCAACCCGCGACCCACCGCGACCCACCCGCGACCCACCCAGCGACCCACCCAAAATTTTCAGCGCCTGCGGCGGGCTCCTTTTGAATTTGGTCCAGGTGGAGAACCTGCGACCCACCCGCGACCCAAACCGCGTTCAGTGTACAAATCAATATTTTCGGCGCCTGCGGCGGGCTGTTTTTGAATTCTTTCCAAATGGAAGTGGAGAGCCCGCGACCCACCCGCGACCAAAACTACGTTCACTGAACAAGCCAAAACTTCGGCGCCTGCGGCGGGTTTCTTTTGCATTCGTTCCACGTGGAGAACCTGCGACCCAAACCGCGTTCAGTGTACAAATAAAATTGTTCGGCGCCTGCGGCGGGCTGTTTTTGAATTCCTTCAGGTGGAAGAGGAAAAGGAGGAACAGGAGGAAGAGGAGGAGGTGGAGGAGGAGGCGGAAGACGACGACGACGACGATGAGGACGACGACGCGGACGAAGAATAGGAGGAGGAGGAGGAGGAGGAGGAGGAGGAGAAGGAGGAGGAGGAGGAAGGCGCCATCGACAGGGAAAGTAGGGGCCACGAGGTCCGCCGGCTCGACGCCCGCGTCGCCAGCGCCCGCCCCCTCCCTCTTATGCCAACGTGCTTTACAACTGGCTCGCATCGGTATGTTGCAGAAAAATAAATTGTTTACCGGACTACGACGGACGCCGTGGATGCTGAAGATTGATGTCGTCGAATACGCGGGCGCTGTGGAGGAAAGGCGCAGGAAGAGACGGCGGGAGGTTGAGGCAAAAAGGAGGCAACCATGCGGACACCTGGTAATTGCGGAAGGTTCAGTGCATGTGTTAGCTGTTGCCGCCACTGTTGTTTTCCCGGATACCACGATCGCTTCTTATTGCAAACAACGGGCTCCGGTTCATGACGCCAATTTCGGCGCCCACTCCATCCATCCCATCCTCGCTTCCGCCTCCCCACTCTCCCATTTCCTCCTCCTCCACCCCCTCCTTCCTCCTCCTCATTTTCTCGTCTCTTCCTCCTGTCATTGCAAACTCATACTTCTGGGGCTCACGGGCGGTGGCCCCCTTCCTCCTCCT